GAATAAGTGCTGCGCGCAGAGATGAGGCCTGGGAAGAACCGGGGAGTAATTAAGAGTTCACTGCGAAGCCGCTGTAAACATTCTCCTGCGACCTGCACACCTTCGTGAACATGCATTCGTGACGTTTCACGACGACAGATAGTAGATTAGCAGTGATTTACGTGCATCTTACTTGCTTCAAAAGCGTCGAAATTTTAAAATTCTAGCGTAGATTAAACACACACTATTTGCATTTCCACGACTAATAACTATTAATTAAAATAGTTAGATAATGGCTGAAATAACAATTTGCTGCGTGCATAAAAAATAATTAATATAATTTCATTATATTTTCGTTTGTAAACTAAAATGATTCAAATTACTGCCTTCATTATTTAAAGCACATTTCGCACCAACGAGTGAGGTTAATGATTTTTTGAGGTTATGATGATTTTATGAGATGTAATGCGCGGATTTTCTTCGCATAATTCCAAAAGTGTGAATAACGTGGTTTCCACACCAAAAAACATATATTTACTCACTGTTTATACCCCAACACAAACTGAATAGGATACCTACGTAATTTGTCCCACTTTTATTGTTCTCATCACCGGATCACATAAGTGTGCGCGAGTGTTTCCAGCGAGCAACTCTACACCATCTCCTCGCAGCCATCCACCGCGCAGGAAGACGATTTTCCATATTTTCTCATATCGCGTATGTAACTTTATGCCTCGACGCGAGACTCGAGCCACTTTAAAACGTACGCCGAATTAAACCCAACGATCCTTCCTGCGCTTTACGTTCACATCGCATGTCAACATGTCAACATATAATTAATTATAACTAAGACTTATCGAGTAAATGCTACATACCGTCTTGGAAGTCAACGGCAGCATGCCACTAAAAGCATCGCACTACTCTCTCAAACTCCGGGGAAAAGCTTGATGTAATCAAATTGTAACGATTTGCATGCTTGGATTCGTTTTATTTTGTAAATTGCGCCCAGCGTGCAACTATAACAGTTTGATTTAGCATACAAATTAAGTTGTTGCTTTTTTTTTAATTTGATTTTCCAATTCCAGCTGCGAGTCTCTCTCGCGTTCAATTAGCAGCGAATGCCACTACAGCATTTGTTGATGTCGCAACGCGCATGTAACATCACATATCACATGTGGGATGAAACAGTGCGCGTGCTAGTCGAGTTTCTAGTGTGCACAATCGGCAAACTTTTTTTGATTTCAAACTTGGAAATGGAGCGGATGCGAGCGATTTTTGATGAGGCACGCTCCTCACTCGCAACGATGAGGATGTATTAATCATCAGCGTATTCATTACACACGGCGAAGCAAAAAACATTTAATTGCTATGTAAGTACTGGACACTGCATGCAGAGGCTTTGCCATCCAGGCATCAAGGCTTTTTGTGCGCACGCTGCTAAAATCATTTTCAAACGAACAAACACTCTTAGAAACATCAAAAGCGCCTAGTGGTATAATTATGTTATCGTTCGTGTATGGTAATTTCAATTTGCTTCATTGTGAATTAGTTTACAAAAGTGTTTTTGGAGCACACATTTTATGACATAGTGGTGCTTGCATGAAACAAGTTGATTGTCGAGCATGGCCGAGGTGGAAATTAATTTCGCAAAGTTAAAATGTAATTAAACGCCGCATGGTTGCCAACGATTGCCTTTCAAATTAATATCTATTAACATTTACTGCTGAAGTCGAATTGTAACTGAGTCGAAATCATTTGATATCAGGCGCAGGCGGCGTACGAATTTGACGGCTATCGAACGCATTCAGTTACTTCCGTGTAATTTCCACAAACGGTCAAAACTCAAATTATTGCAGGAACAGGTGGAATGGATGAAACAAAACCGAGTCGGTATGAATTATATTTTGATTGTTTCGTAAAAACAATGTTTAGATTTGAATTGAGTGCTGTGCAAGCAACAGTTTTGAAGATATTTATATACTCTCGAGTAATTATTTGTTTATTTAAACATCGCGCGAATTAATCTCCTCGGTATTTATTTGTTTAACAAATCATCTCAGTGCATTACACATTTTTACTACTTTTTTTGTTTTTTCTGCTGTTAAATTTTAATAAAATTAATATCAAGTATTTCCAGATGAAATTTCAAGTATACGCAGAAATAATTCAAATTTAGAGCCGATGATTACGCAATCAACGCATTAATATTCCGCATGTAATTGCATTTAAATAGTGTCGCACATATCCACCGCATGTATTATTCACGGCAAGAGAAACCGATGTTTTACGCTAATTAGCAACGTGTTGTACCCATGTTACAATTAAAACAAATAAAAGTGGGCGCGAGCATGCGCTGGATTTAGACCGAGATGGTTTTAGCATTTGGCGTGGCGAATTTCAACTTTGTGCCACTGAGACAGACGCGTGCAAAGATTAATTATCGTACGATAAAGTGGCTGCCTTTCGCGCGCGTACGCAAATTCAAATATTCGGTGTGAGAAGCGGCGCGCGGCACGCACGACGCGGCGTCCGTCTTCTTCAGCGAATGGATCCTCCGGCTCGGATGCGAAATGTGCGAATGCTGAATGCGAAGCGGCGCTGAATGATTTATGCGTTTCGTATTTATTATCCGCGAGTGGCGCGCGTTTACCATTTACCGCTCCGGCGCCATTATGAATCTGCTACGCACATTTTTCCGGCTTCCGGAGAGAGACTGTGCGCCCGAATTGTATTCAGGCTTTCATTCACAGCAGCCGGCCCATCATCCTGCAGGCCATGAGATTGCAGCCGGAAACGCACGCAAATTGTGCGCAAAGTTTTTCGCATTGCGCGACCGCCTGAATGCTTGGATAAATATTGTTCGATTCGCGTGCGTTTATTACATTTATTCACGAAGTGAAAATAAACCAGATGTGCATATTCTACAGTAATAACTAATAACATTGCGCGCTCGCCAGATAATTTTGTTTGCGTTCGCATGAAACAACATTTTCGCATTGCACTAACATAAATTAAAAATTACACAGTACACACACAAACAAACACAAAATATCTCGAAAAATTTTAACGTTTACGTCGAAATACTTTCGGTTTCCACTGTTATAATGATAGATGTGTTTTGAGCGTGCTTGTAGGTATCTACAATTATAATAATATTCAACAATTATCCGCGAGCCTCATTATGAATTTATGTGCCTCGTTAATATTTATTTTAGTAGAAATCTAGCGCTTACCAGGAATTCGATTCGGTTGTAATTATGGCCGGTGCGCAGTCAAATAAATCAATTAGATTTAAGTTATGTGCATTAGCTGCGAAGTGAGCAGGCATTAGACGCACGAAGAAATCCCTCCGACAGACAGACACACAGCATCCGACGCGGCGTCGGTTCGGTGCGATCGTTACGCACGGCAATAACGACAAATGTAATTATTTCGAAATAAAATAAAATTTCGCAAGGCCCGACAGCCGAGCGCTAACAAGACCTAACAAGACATCCAGGTACGGCGCTATAGAAAACGCCCTTTGACAATTGCATTATTAATTTGAAAGAATATTCGAGCAACACGCGTCTCAACTCTTGACTTGAGCCGGTATTGACGACGGCGAAGAATCGAAGAATGAAAGCGGCGAAGCATCGACGAATTCAACAACTACTTCAGCGTGCGCGCCGTCGAAGAGATCTCCTCTTGATGTTTGTAAGCGCAACTCGGAGAAACTATCAAATGTGCGTCCGTTTGAATTTTATGACTTTATTTTTATTGAGCAGCGCACAAAATGTAACCGCTGGTGAGCGAAGGCGAGGATGACGTCAGCGTTTTGCAAAGTATAAACACTCTAATTGTCTCTGATAACTTACCGGTTGTCTGATTGGGTGGCAAGTTGAGTTTGGACGAAAACCGACTCATGCATGATCAGCTCAGATATCAGTTGGATGATTGACTCAAATAAAAACACAAGCAGAAAAAAACTATACACGAAATCATGCATGACGACGATGTGTTCGTTCGCTTCCAAAAACACTACATTGCATTCATTAATTCGATTCCATATGAATGCAGCCTTACCGAATTAATTTTATGCGCATTTTCGCCGAAAGAGGAAAATACGCGTGCATTATCCAAAAATATTTGAACTGTGCACATTAATAAACACGAACCGCAACAGATTTTCGTTTTAATTAATTTTTTACTCGTTGGTCATTCATTACGTACAAATACGAAGTTGAAATTTTATTTGAAAACTTTCCCGACATGAGTCCCACATGATGGTATATCATGGTGAATATTACATGTTGTCATTATGAAGCGCTGATCCGTTGCGGCAATGCGGACGGATTTGCGCACGATTAAATTATCCAAGATGGATCTCGCTTTTCAATTAGCTGCCGACCATGATATCCATGGGGTTGACTAACGAAGAACCGACGCTATTAATAAAACACTATCGATTTCGCCTCGGGGGCGTGCAAAGCGGTGGTGTAGCTTCAATATTTTTGTGCCTTCGCGTGTTTTTTTTTTATGATGAAATTGTTGCATCCGTCGGCGAAATATGAAAGGGTTGAGCGCGCGGGCGAAAATTGCGGCATGAAAAAAATGATCCGGGCGATTTTGGTAAATCGAGGACGCGAGCGGCGAGCGTGCAAGGACGAAATGAACTTCCAGCCGCAGACAAAACGAGAGAAGACGAAAGAAAAAAACGTGGAATCCCGTGCTTTGACGGGCTTCGAGAGAAATGCCGCTCGCAAATATTCGCCGGATGAAGAGTCCTGAGTCCCGGTAACCCGCGGATTCGGAAACGCAGCATTTTCATCCATCACAAGCATCGCATCTTGCTGGTGGCTCTTGTTCATGCATTGAAAAATTCGAAAAACATTTTTGAACGCGGATCACCGACTTGAATAATGTTTAGGTTTAGACGTGAACACAATGGTGTCATCATTCAGGCGACGCAAACTTTTTTCAATTTTTACCAAAACTTTCCTCTTCGAGATTAATTTCGAAAAATATCATAATCGACTCACCGTACTTCGTTGGTGACAGTTTGTCAATCTTCTCTACGCACAAATAGTTTAATTGTTCTAAGAGTTTAACGTTCGAATAGAATCGCAATTTCAACCGTAACAGTTTTGAGCTGAGTTCAGTTTGAATTTCAATTCCTGCAGCGATGGTTTAATGAAATTAATTAAGCGTTCACAATTAATTTCCACTTTGTACAATGTACGAGACTAGTTCCAAAATCCGTCTCCTTACGTGCGTGTGGGTTGGTTCAGTTCGCGCCGGGTACTTGCAAAAGTGCAAGTTTAAAGGTTAGTTTTATTAGTTAAGAACACGAGCAGTTGTTGGTGAGTGAATGATGCCGCGAAAACTGCACTGTAGGATGGCGCGAGTTGGACGCGGCGTCGATGTCCCGATGTGTTGGTCGATCAGGTGGCAGTGATTACATCGCCGCGCGCCTGTAACTCTTCCCGAAGGCGCTCGCTGGCGATGCACACGAATGGGATATTCTCTCGCGACGCGCGTCTCGGCGAGCGACAGTCGGACGTGTGCGGCTACAGGACCGCGCGCGCTGCCTGCCGAGACTGGCGTCGCCGTCGACCTGCCGCCGTGCCGCCGAAAATTCTGCGCGCCGCAGAGCCGCGCTTCCTGCGGCGGGGAGCACGCGGCATCCAGACGCGCTCCTGCCGCGCGCTTCTCGCGAAGAATGAATCTTTCATTCGCGAGCGGGCCGCATCAATTGTTAATTGTTTGCCGCACTTAAGCGCGCCGTACCATCTCCATCTGCATTGCGATTAAAACCTCATCTAAACATTTCATATTCAGGAGGGTATTGATATTTTATGAGAAAAAAGGTATTGGTTATTCTATTCGCTAAAACTTTTGTCCACCATCAACCAAAAAAGGGGAGCTGTTAGTCATGTTTTAAAGAAATAACACCTCTGAGTATCAGTTGATATTTAAATTTTTTTCAAAAATTAACGAAAATTGCGTATAAACAAAAAAATATCAATAAATTATCATATTTTTTATACAAATGCAGAAAAAACCTGGGCATCGTATTTCTGTTATGATTTTTTTAACACTATGGAGGCAATATGTCACATCATTATAATATCACATAAAAAATACGACTTTAATGCCTCAATGAATAATTGAGTTATTTTACAATATAATATTATGCTGCATTATGTTCATTTTATAGCACGCATGGAATTTTTCAGAAGAAAGTAGACAAAATACGTATGTAAATAACATTAAAATATTTATTTTATTAATGATAAAATGTTGTTTTGAATTAAAAGAAAAAATAAAATTGTCTTGAATTTGACATTTTGATCAAACTTTTATATTAACAAGACAATCTCACTTCACTTATTTGACTGAAGGGTTTGTTTTGATTCTTAAATCAAGTTTCACTGTCAATAATTTTATCTACGCTGCGATAAGATTTGCAGTAAAGATTTGTATATATTTGCGTGCTATTGACATCGCTTAAATATTGTTGTTTTAATTGCAGACTATAACTTTCTTAACCAGCCACCCCATTTACTTATGTATAATAAGGTAATAGAGTCTTAATTATAAGTTTGATAACGTGTTAAATTCTGCTTCACTGACGTACGGGCATGATTCTCATTAAAAAGTTTCTCGTCGTTATTTGCCGCTCGTGATAATCAAGCAAATAATATTGTAAAATACAAGTTATTTATATTATATTGCGCAAATAGTCGTATTATTATAATACGTAGATATTGTAGATGTTGTTTATTAGATAACAAGCAATTTCTATCATTTGACATTGACATTGAAATGTTCATAAAAATGTATGTATTTCACTTTGTCAACAATAACAGCAAATTGCAAATGTTATAATTTTGTGCTGCTGACATCTACTAAGCAAACAGCGCAACGTTGATATTGAATAAACTTAAGATATTTTTTCATTTCGCTTTCGCCCACTCTGTTTCATACTCAAATAGAAGTAATAACTGCATTACAAACTGCAAGAAATATTTCGAAATTAATAAATAAATATAAAATGATTAAGTTATGCATGTTTAGTAAGCAAAAAACTTTTAAACCCAAATACTTTTAACTATTTTTGTGTTACGATAATGCTAAGAAGCAAAAAATTAAAATAAAATAATAAAAAAATCGTTGCAACAGCAGCGAATATCCAGCCATCATGAAAATTTCATAAATGTTTCAACTATTAAAAAAACATTTCATTTTAACAATTCATTTGGGCAAAATCACACAACCGAATTAAATTCAGCTAATTATTAATTTAAGACGCTATTTAATGACGAAAATTTATGGACGACTAATTCAATATAAAATATACAATTACCTCATAAATACTACCAGCAAACAAACATATTTGAACCAGTCTAATAATTTACGCGGCTTGTTCTTGCCGGTTTCCAGCATAAAATGCAAATGCATGCGAGTGACACACGTAATTTTTCCACCAGCATAAAATCCCGCCGTCCGAAAATTGTCACACTAATAGCGTATAGCACCCGGAAATAATAAAGCAGTTTCCGGTTACATTCGCAGGCTGCGTTTGTCGTGCGCGCGGCGTGCGATGGAAGTGCATATTTCATAATTGTCCACCCCCGCAACGCGGCCACCGCAAAATAAACGCACTCGTAAAACGAGGAAAACACGCAACTTGCGGCCGCATTGACGGCTCATGAATTCATAATATTCGGCTTCAATAATTTCACCTCGCGCGCGCGCGCACGTTAATATTTTACGCATCACATTCGTTTTCCCCTTTCCTGCTCGGGCGCGCGCACCCACCCTAAGTGGCCGGTTACGAATTTTGTTTATAATTAGTTCGACATCAAAGCATCTCGTTGCGTAATTGATGTCGACGCTTTCAAAAACGCGAAGTAAAATTGCACTCGGCAGCATTATTTGAATAAAACGCTCATAAAAGTGTGAAACGCTGCGGCATGTGTGTTGAAACGTAATGATATCGTTGATGATAAGTTTTCGTGTGCGTGGTGCGTCGAAGTATGGTTTGATGCAGTCATTTGTAGCAATGACGCGGGTACACACACATGTTCGTTACGCCTTCTTTTCACAATACGGACTAATTAGAATAATCGAAAACGCTCCGACGCACTCGCGCCAGAGTGCTTATTAAGCTTAATAAGGTGTCCCGTTCGACGATCGATTTAAATATTAATTCGCAATTAAAAATCCGAAATCGGCACCTCCAGTTGCGATCGAATCAATTCGTCGGGAGCGAAAAAAACACATATCAAACCTTTAAGCCCGCCATCGGACGCACATAAAAATTAGTTTGTACTTTGTTTCGCGTCGAATCAAAACGCTAAATATTTGTTTTGGCAGCATTTTTCCCGTTTCATTTGTTCCCGACCGACCCGTCGGTCCGACTGCGCCGTCCATTAACGTCTCCTTCCGCGGTGCGTGTGTGTATTTTATTATCACACGTTTAAGTCTAATCTTAATATCGCTCGTAAATTGGCTCCGCAATTCGCCTATTAAGTTCGAGTTTCGGCGCGGCATTAAGTAGATCGTTAATATGCGCGTGGCGGCCGGAGAATATGGGTAATAAAAACGCGTTGAAAAAGGCGAAAGAAGTTTCTCAATAAATCGCGCGACGAAATTGGAAATCACTGACGAATTACGAGTTGATAATAGACGTGATACGCGAGACGCCGGTTTGATAACGACGCCGCCGCCGGCGGAAAAACAGCGGTAGTCGGCGATCATCATGCGCGGCGACGGAGCTGAAAATAAGCAAACGAGAAGCAGAAGAGCCGAGAATGGTATTTTTGGACGGAACGCCGAAATAAATAGAATAATCATAATAAAATCGAAGGTTTACGACGATGAATTAAGATAATCTTTTCGGGTTTACTTTGCAATGTCGCCGGATTTACATGACTTCGAGAGGATGCAACGAAATATCGGAATTTTGTCCGGCAGACCAACTAACTTATCAGTACAACTAACTGACGCGGAAGCATTAAACTCCGTACGTAATTGTTTCTTAATGTTAACTGCGTCTCCTTTTTTGTCCACAATTTGCATACAAATGTCATGCGCGACTTAAAATGCTACCATTTATCTCTGAGTTTCAAATAAAAAACATTGAAAATTGTTAAGTTTAAAAATAAAATTAATCGTTTTGACTACCCGTAAGCTTTCCTGTGGCCTTCAGCTGGTTGAACTTTATATTGCCTGTTGCATTATCGTTGGGGCAATTTCTTCAACTCTACTCTTACTTTTTAATAATATCTGTTTGGGAATCGTCTGATTGGGTTGCATCTTTTGTAGAAAATATCCTCTGAAGATAATAAAACATCAAAAGTGTCCAAACCAAGTGCGGCACTCAAAGTATCTACTTTTTTATATTCCTCAATCTATAATCGATCCTCAATACACACGATAGTGAATAATATAGAAGCATGTATCACAGTCACGAATGAATAATGACGAATGACAATATTTCCCCGATCGAATTCAAGAGACGTTCGAATCGTCGCTGTGGATGAATGCGCGAAATGTGCGCCATAAAACAGAAAAACGTGTGCATTTCGATATCGTCGGTTAACCGCGTAATATACGCCATTGCTTGTATTCCGTGGTGCAAAAAGTGAGTAGTTTTCGGTCGACTGGCGCCCGTATTGTGAATTTATACTGATGCGACTCGAAGGGCGCGCCCGAGACAGCCACTAAGCCCTCGCGACTGACGCGACAACCGCACCGACATGCGACACGTCGGACGCGTATGATTTATGCAATTTCAGATTATCCACATTCATTCGCATCTCGGCCGGGCACGCCAGGACGACACAAAGCGACCTCGCAGGATGTTGTGCGCGCAGATATTGTGATATTGTTAATCGAAAATGTTTTACGGCCCATTTGGTGCGCATTGCGCGCGTGCGAATTTCGCTCGGGCGACGCTCTCGGGTTCAAGTGAAATGAAATCGTGCTTAATAAACAAGATTCGGGGCCATATCGTAGTTTCGGCCGCTTGTTGCACATGTAAATAAAAATATATTTGCCTAATTTGGCATTGTCAATACTAGAGGTGAAGCGGACATCCGGGTACCGGCGTGTGCAGTCCCAATTTGCCATTGGGACATCGGATAGTGTATTACTTTTAAATTTATTGCAAATTTAAATCAAATCCATTGTGGAAGGAAAAGTTGAAGTTTTTAATACTTGAAATAAATGCAAATATATAAATATTTAGTTCTTACCTTCAAATTTCATAACCATTTACAACCAGGGATTTCTTCAAGGACGGGATAAAAATGTTTTGCTTGCATTTTCGGCAGGTAATCAACACGTTCATGTCCGTATGCAGCCATGTAGAAACAAACACTTCCTGCACCTCTGCGGTGAATGTTACAACCGAGTCCACACAAATTTTAAATCTTCTGCTGGTCAATGGAATTTCCTGTAAGCTGGTTTTACATCTATCGGACTTTTATTACACCGGACCCTTGTTCTGGAGGCTCAGGGGCCTAGCATCCAATTGGAAGTTGGTTTCTTGGCGTTCGAAACAAACCGCGTGCGGAACTGC